GAGGGCGGCGGCCCGGGAGAAGACCCTAACAGAAGACGCCCGCTCAGTCAGCACCCTGGTGCGGGAGGGCCTGATGAGCAAACCGCTGGACGTGGTCCTCCGCCAAAGCGCTGTGATGGTCGGGCGGAAGTGCACGCCGCCCTCAAGGATCTGTTCCCGCAGGTCGTTTTGCCTGCAGGGCTGCCAGCCCCCCCTCAGCTGGCCCCAGAAAGCGAGCTGAGTTGGTGGACGCCGAACGTCGCAACCTGAAGCGATACCCAGCGCGCTCTGGGCCTGGCCCCAATGGCTCCCGCTTTGAGCACTGGGCAACGGCCGCGGCCGACAGCGACGCCGCTGACCAGGTCAGCGAGGTCGCGGTCATGCTCCTGCTCGGGGAGTGCCCAGGTGACTTCCTCAAGGCGAACTTGGGCGCCCGCCTGGTGGCCTTGTGCAAACCCAACGGCAGGGTGCGGCCTGTGAAATGCGGGTCGGTCCTCAGGCGCATTGCTGCAAGGGCGGCGTGCCGCGTGTTCCGAGAGCAGCTCGCGCAGGCGCGGGGGCCGCATCAGTACGCGGAAGGTTCACGAGGCCATCGCAGCGATGACAGCAGTTTCGCCCACGGACGTGGTCTTGCAGTTTGACGCCTCCAACGCGTTCAACACGACGCCACGCCGCAAAATCCTTGAAGGGGTGGCGGCACGACTCTCCGACCTGTGCCAGCCCGCGGCCGCGTGGCTGGGAACGGGGACCACGCACCTCTGGCGGGGCGCTTGCGGGGCTGCCAAGGGGGTGACGGCCGCGAGTGGGGTCGACCAGGGCTGCCCGCTTTCGCCGGCAGACTTTGCCGTGGGGCGCTGACCAAGATCGATGGCCGACTGGCGGGCCGTGTCCCCGGCCGCCGGGGTGTTCTCCTACTTGGGCGACGTAGTGGTTGTGGTGCCCGCGGCGCTGGGGGGGGCGGCCCTTTCGACGGTGGTCGACGAGCTTGCCCAGGCAGGACTCACCATCAACGCGGGCAAAACCGCTGCGTGGACGCGGGGCCCGTCGACGCCACTCTCGCCGCCGATTCGCGCCCCGCGAAAACTTGCCATCCGCTGCTTGGGAGCCGCCGCGCCGTGAGTGGAGCCCGACGACCCCTTTGCGCGCCTTGCAGTCTACTGGCAGGCCGACGGGGGCGAGGCCGTGCGAGTCGCAGAGCGCCTAGTCACTCGACTGCAGGCCTTGCGGGGCGCTGGGCTCGGAGCGCGGGAATGCTTTTGGCCTCTGCAGACCTACGGCGACGGCTGCGTCACGCACTTGCTCCGCGCCGACTACGAGGACGGGGGCTGGCTCACAAGTCTCGATGAGACTGTCGTGCGGGCGTTGGTGGACTTCTTGGGGGGTGTCCTTGACGACGGGCAGCGAGCGCGGTGCTTCCTTCGCTTGACAGACGGGGGCCTCGGGCTGGCTTCGGCGGCGCGGGCGGCGGCCGCTGCCTGGGCCCTCGCCCTTCGCAGCGTTGGCGCCTGCTTAGACGAGCCTTCCTGGGCCCCGTTCAAGGGCCGCTGCCCCGTGGCGGCAGAGACCATGGCCGGGGCAGAGGCCCGCTCCAGGGGCAGGGCGAAGGGGCGTTGGAGGCCATAGACTGGACAGGCTGCGTGCGCGAACCACTCGAAGGGATGCAGGGGCAGTGGGCAGGCGACTTCCGCAGCAAGGGCTGCGCGCGGCTGCTGGCTACCCTGGGAGCCGACGCCAGGGTCGACTTCAGGTCGCCTGGCGGCCCCGGAGCGGGCGGCTCTCCGGAAGCGCCCGTTGTTCGCGAGGGGGAGACGCCGGCGAAGATGCCAGAGGAGCACTTCCTGCGTCGCCCTGAAAGATAGACTGCGACTGTCCGTGCGCCCGCCGGCCGCCACCTGCAAGCTCCGCAAGGCCGACGGGACTTCCTGCGGGGGGGGCCTCGACCGCCGCGGCCGACGCGCCCTGAAGTGCCCGTGCGGCCCGTGCCGCAACAACAAGCACGACGGCCTCCGCGATTTCTGCGCTAGCTACCACCGACGGGTAACTGGATTCGTTGCCGTGAAGGAGCAACGGGTAGCGGCATGCGGCCGCGTCAACCGACGGACTGGGCTGCTTGAGGAGGCGCAGCTCGACGTCGCCACCCGCGACGCGGTGACAGGACAGACTGTTTTTGTGGGCGCGAGCGTGACCTGCGCGCGCAGCGGCAATGCGCCGCGCCAGCGGGTACGTTCCAACCGCGACGGCCTTGCTGCCGCTAACGCAGAGGACGCGAAGCGGGACAGGTACCCGCCGGAAAGAGGGCAGCTCTTCCCAGTCGTCTGCGAAACGGGGGGGCGCCCAGGCGACGCCGCCGCGGCGTGCGTCCGTTCCGGGGGTCACGATGTGGCCCCAGCGGAGCGAACCGAGGTCATCCGTTACGGATGGCAGCAGCTGAGCACCCGGTTGCACTTCGGAAGCACCGAAAGCATTTTGACGGCTGGCGGCCGGTAGTCGCGCCTCAGCCAGCGCCGACGACTGCGCCTGC